AGTAGTGAGCAGCATGATCAGATCTGCTACGAGGAAAATGCAGAGGAGCGATGATTATGAGGGGCGAGGAGGAGGAGGAGAAGGAGGAGAAGGAGGAGAGGGAGAAGGAGGTGGAGAACGAGAAATGGGAAGGAGCGAGGAATGAGAAGGGAGGGAGCGCGGAGCGAGGAGGGGGTAGGAGGAGCGATGAGCTGTCCAGGGAGAGCGACACATACTCCCAAGAGGAACAAAACCACATCCAAATAGGCAAGCTCTTGACAATCCTGGCTGCGATAATTACTTGCCTCTTGATGGTCCGGTTGGCTGGCGTTGGTTCCCCCCCTGGCCATGAGTGTGGGGCGGCCAGCCGACGGGCGCGGACCTCGACTGTGGACTCGGGCTGCAGCCATTCCAGGAGCCACCACAGCAGGGTGTCGAGGGCGGCCATCAGCATGAACACCTTCGGAGGCCCAGAAATTGGCACCACCGCTGATATCGGCGATCGCCTTCAGAAGGAATATGACATCCGACATCGGTGATGGTTGTACTCTTCGGGCTTCTAAAGTGGTCTACAGGCAGCCACCACCACTATCCAACTCGAGGGCCATATCGCCTGGATGGAGGCGATCCCCGATGTTTTTGCTGGTGCCAACTTCTAGACCTCTGGCACCCACCTCTCATCAGGACCTTGCAGATGGCAACCCGCTTGTGGGAACCCTATGTGCCTTCTCAGAAGCTTCTGGGGAGGCACCGACCCCTTCTAAGAAACATCCTGCCTTCTTCGACCAAAAGCAACTCAGAACCCTTCCCCTAGCACTTCTCAAGTCCATCCTGCAGTGTTCTCCGAGCCCCGCCCAGCCGCGGCGACAAGGAGGCGGCGGAGGAGGAGGAGGAGGAGGATGAGGAGGAGGAGGAGGAGGAGGGGGAGGAAGAGACGGCGGAGGAGGAGGAGGAGGAGGAGGGAGGAGGAGAGGAAGAGACAGAGGAGGAGGAGGAGGAGGAGGAGAGGAGGAGGAGGAGAAGGAGGATGGGAGGAAGAGACGGAGGAGAGGAGGAGGAGGAGAGGAGGAGGAGGAGGAGGAGGAAGAGGAGGAGAGGAGACGGAGGAGGGGAGGGGAGGAGGAGGAGGAGGAGAGGAGGAGGAGGAGGAGAGGAGGAGGAGGAGGAGGAGGAGGAGGAGGAGGAGGAGGAGGAGGAGGAGGAGGAGAGGAGAGGAGGAGAGAGGAGGAGAAGGAGAGGAGAGGAGAGGAGGAGGAGGAGGAGGAGGAGCAGGAGGGACGAGGGGAGGAGGAGGGCGCGGGGGAGGAGGGGTAGGCCAGAGACGCCTCAAACCCTCCAGACCGACGACGAACCCGCCGTCGCCACCCACGACGCGCACCACTTCTGCGCGCCGCCAGGCCTTCCCCGACACCCGCCCCACGCGGAGGAAGCTCAGCAGCCGCTGCCTCATCGGCTGCGCGCAAGAGCGACCATGTGGAGGCGCGACCCCTGGTGCGCGGGCTGCCAGCTTTGGCCGCTGCCCGAGGCAAAAGGAGGAGGAGGAGGAGGAGGAGGAGGAGGAGGAGGAGGAGGAGGAGGAGGGAGGAGGAGGAGGGAGGAGGAGGAGGAGGAGGAGGAGGAGGAGGAGGAGGAGGAGGAGGAGGGAGGAGGAGGAGGAGGAGGAGGAGGAGGACACACAGGAACGATGCTCAGAGCACCCCCCCAGACAACAAAAAGACAGCGCACCAGAGGCCCCTCCGGCGAAGGGCCGCCCTTGAGCACGGCCGAGCCCGAGGCAATCGTCGGGCGTTGCGGCCACGCGCCGGTACACCTGCTCCGTGCGCCTCCAGGGAGCCCAGAGTCGGATCGACGAGTCGGATCGGCGATCGAAACGAGTCGGATCGGCGGAGATCGGCGGCCAAGTCGGGAGAAGTCGACTCGGCGGAAATCGGCAGGCTACGGTCAGGATTTGTTGCGTAGCGTGTCGCGACGGCGGCCCCAGCGACACGCTATGCCTTGCGAGCGGATAGCGTGTCGCTCCGCTCCGCGGGGCGGGAGACTCGGAATCGCTCGGGACGTTGACGCTGGGGGGCCGGGAAGTAGATAGCGTGTCGCGCCGAGGTACGGTGGGCCAGAACTGGCGGAGCGACACGCTATCCAAATAGTTCCCGACTGCAATATGAAGCCTCCATTGAGACCCCAAAAAATCGGAATCCGAAGTCGAATCCAATCGGAGTCGGAGTCGGAATCGAAGCTGGATCGCATCGAGCCAGAGGGTTCGCAGATCAGCCATGGTGCGCCTCGCCACGTCGTGCCAAGAGTACATGCCGCGCACCTCGCCGTGGAAGGCCACGGCCTGCTCGGGGGCGGGCAGGGAGCCGAGGGCCCCCGACAGCGCCTCGACGATGCACTCGCTGCGGGGGGGCGCGAGGCGCGCCATGTGCGGCGGCAGCACCTCCGGCACCCCGCCGACGTCGGTCGCGACGACCAGGAGGCCGCACGAGGCCGCCTCGACGATGGCGATGCAGAAGGCCTCCGTGAGCGACGTGTTCAGGAAGATGTGCCCGCGGACCTAAGAGGAGCAAAGAACCGCGCAAACAGAGACTCTCGGCGGTCCGCGCGGATTTCTTGGATCTGGGCGGGGCCTCCCTCCTCGGCGCGCGGAGCGCGCCGGCCCGGCGGCGGCGGCGGAGGCGCTGCCAAGGGGGTCCCGGCGCAGATCCAAGGCGTCCGCGCGGAGGTCCTCGAGATGTGCCCGCGTTTTTTCGTCCTTTTTCGTCCTCGAGATGTTTTTCGACCTCGTCCTTTTTTCGTTATTTTTTCGTCCTTTTTTCGTTTTCTTGCGCGCGTCCGCGTTTGTGCTGTTTTTTCGTCCTCGAGATGTGCCCGCGGACCAGCACGTCGCGGACGCTGTCGTGCGGCACGCTCCCGAGCAGCTGGACGCGGTCGTGGAGGCCCTCCCGCTCGGTCATCTCCTCGAGGAGCAGGCGCTTCGGGCCGCTCCCGCCGATGATCCAGTTGACGTGCGGGTGCCTGCGGCAGATGGCCGGCACGGCGTCCACCAGCAGGTCGGTGCCCTTCCTGTAGGTCAGGCGGCTGATGACCACGATGTTCACCGTGGGCGGCGGCGGCCGCTTCGAGGGGTCGGGCTTGAAGCGCGCGGTGTCGACCGCGTTCGGAATGACGGAGGCATCTGCTGGGTGCAGCTTGGCCCGCAGCACCAAATTTTCCTTGTTGGTGTGCGATACGCATATGCAGTGGTGGACGTTCGTGAGGAAGAACGTGAGCAACTTGTTCAGATGTATGCAAGCAGCATCCGCGAATCCAAAGAGGGAATGATCGGTATAGACAACCTTGGAGCCCATCGTCCGGGCGTGCATGCAACACTCGTGGGCGAGATTAGAAGTGGCTTGGTGACCGTGCACGATGTCAATCTGTTCTCTGATCAAGATCTTTCGCAACAGTGGGAAAAACGTGAAGAAAGTGGGCAGTGTTGTCTCGTCGTGGAACGGCAAGAACGGCACATAATACACTTTCAATCCATTGCACATGTAGCGCACGCCGTGCCGGTGCTTGCGCGCGCTGGTGATCACAATCACCTTGTGGCCACGCTGCAATAAACACTGCGACAACTGGTATATATGCATCTCCACCCCACCGAGCCGTGGGTGGAAGAAATCGCAGACCATGCAAATGCGCAGCGAGGCCATCGCCGATGAGCCTCCAGGCGCCTGTCAGCGCGCTCCCCCGCGTCCACCCGCGGACACATCCACGCTGGGCACGCCCCAGCCTGCCAGCAAGGCGAGCGAGCCCAGGTCAGAAAGCTTGAGCATGGGGGCGACGGCGTGGGCAAGGACCCATACCGAGACATGGTGCACGCCCCTGACTCCCTTTCTATCCGACGCCTCTGATCACCTACCGTTGCAGGGCAAGATCACGAAAGACGGCCTTGCACTGAAAATCGCAGCGAAAGCGAAATCATAGTTTCGTAAGCAATTCAGGCACTCTTTGCCGACCACTCGCAGCCGCCTCCCGCCGAAGAGTGCGGAGGCCCACGGCACTCGAGACGGCAAGAGCTCGCCGAAGAAGCACAGCAAGCCCCGATGGTGACCAACGCGTGCTTGCTCGCCGCGCGTCCGCCGACTCGTGCTCACCCCACGCAGCCCTGCAACGGGTCCGACACCGTGCCCCCTGGCATGCATTCGGAGTGGCATGCCCAGAACGCTGGCGTCGCGCTCGGTCTTTTTTCACATCGTGGACCCCCAGAGGTCTGGACCACTTCCCCCCGGACTGGCCTGCCATCCTGCGCAATTTTTGTTGGCGGTCCCGGGGCCCGGCAGGCGCCCCCAGGGACCGAAAACCGTCTAAGCCGCCCGCCGAGATTTTTCACGACGAGGGGAAGTGGGGGGAGTGCTACTTTGCGGTCTGGCGGATTTCCGTCGGTGTTTGCCCTTCCCCCATCCTTCTCGCGCCCAGCCGCTGCCTCCCACTCCCGAGGCTCAACTGGAGTTCCCGACGTCTCTGGGGCTTCTGTGGTGCCCCAAATGGCTTCCAGACTGACCCGGAAAGCAACCGACACTGCCTCAAGATGTGCCAAAGAGGTCCCACGAAGCCCTAATGAGGGCCTCCAGGGTGGCCCTGAGATGTCGGAGCGCAGGAGCACTGAAGTGCTGCATTGCTTCGGCCACAGATCTCCCCCAGACATTACAAGGACACCCAAGGGCGGCGCCAAGATCGTCCCAGAGCGCTCCAAGGCAGCTCCAAAACCCTGTTTCCGATTGCCCAAAAACCTGAGCAGGCTCCAAGGAGCCTCCAACACCTCCGAAGAGACTTCAAACCATTGACGCCGCATGTTGCGGTCTGCCACGTGTTACCTTTTGGAGAAACGATTTGTTGCATGGTGACGCTCTCGGGGATTTTGGGAAGAGAAACGCCATATGCAAAAGTACGGCTCTGTGCCCTGAGCAGCACATTTGCATCCCATGTCTTCATTGTTGCCCTCTCGAGCCCGCTGAAGAGCGAACCAACATGATGCGACTCAGTGAAGCCCATCAAACTAGAGCTGTCGCATGTGACTGCTTTCTGTCAATGTCTCGAAGGGTCGCTACACAGAGTGGTGTGCTAGCATGGCGGAGCTGAACACTTTTTCCACCCCTGTACGTGGCCCTCTCCGCGCGACTGCTAAGGGAACTTGCCACAAGCACCTGAATGGCAAGCTGGGCAACGAGGCAAGGAATGTCGTGCGACAATGCACCAACATGCTAAGATAAGCAACTTGAAACATGTACATACGTCGGTTTCGTATGCGCACGTTGGCTGGATAAGTCTCTGGCTTGCGCGACCAATTGCGTTCAAGTGCTTGAACGCCTACGCATTTACTCTGGTCGTTCTCAAAAAAATCGGTCACAATACGTGTACCGCAATGAGGATGTAGGACAACACGTAATAGTATGCATGCGTGACCTGATACTATTTCGCACAGGCCATCAAGTGGTTACACCATGCCTTCAATCCCCCAATGACTGGTCCAATGACTGGTACAATCCCCTCTGCATGCTGATTCTTTCCCTCAAGCTCGCACCTCCTGGACTAAGCAAGTGACGTCAGTCGCTTCTGCACACTCCTTCCTCTGGGATTATTTCTCAGCTCGGCTGCATGGCGCCACGTGCTTCTATGAGTTGTCGTTCAAAGTGCCAGCTGAAATTCTGGTTAGACTGAACTCAAGCTGTCAATGGACAGTCCGAAGCGGTGAAAGCCAACTGGCCTCTGCGCGATGCCGCGCGGTTCAAAAATGCAACAAAGCTGGCGCATGCTACTCATGCCTACGTCACCACATGCGTCTCCCCCTCCAGACAGTAGCGACAGATGCTTGACCGCAGAAATACGATTGTATGTTCTGGTTCGGGTACGGACGAGGCCGGACTATGAGAGGACAGGGGGATGAGGACAGGGCGCGAGGACATGGCGGGAGAAGAGCGATGCTGATCATGGAGATGATGATGATGGTGATGATGATGAGGAGGAGGAGGTGAAGGATGAGGAGGAGGGCGAGGATGGGAAGATGGAGTAAGGGAGCGTGGCGGGGGGAGGGAGGCTGGACAGTGGAGGACTGGGGGGGTGACGTGAAGCTCGAGGCGGGAGGAGGCGAGGAACATGCCCAGACGCGACTGCCCGTGACACCCGGGGTCTTCTTGTGGACCGACGACGCGACGGGCAGAGCAGAGGGCACGCGCGGGGCGCGTGCCCCACCGCCGCGGGGAGGCCCCTGCTCTGACGCGCGGGGGCGGAGCACGCGTGGGTCTGCGTGCGGGCGGCCCAGGTCTGAGCACAGTCAGCGCGCGCAATTCGGCGGTGGACAAACCTCCCTTTCGTAAACCGCCCTTTCGTGAAGACGGCCTGGGACCGAGACCGGCGGACCTGGATCCGCAAGCAGAACGGCCGTGACGCCCTCTCGCGAACCGACCACGGCCAATCCACGGATCGGCCGACGTGTCAGGGTAGGAGGTCTAGCAACCTCCGATCAAGGAGGATGCACGACAAGGATGCGATGGGGCCCTGGAAGGCCGTGCCGCCACTTTTCGAGCGGGGCGCAGCCAGCGGAACTGGCCAGGGATGGGCCGAAGGGGGGGACGCACGCAAGGGTAACCTTGGAGAGTTGCTCGCCCTTCCTCTGCGCGTTGACTGTATGACTGAGTTGGGGTATGGACGAGTTGGTTTGAATCTGCAGAGGCCCCCTGTAATTTGGTTGGCGCGTCGACGACGTCGGCGGTGCATCGGCGCCGACGGCGTGGAGAACATCGGGCTCAACATCGAGCCGCACCGCCGATGCGTCAGCGATGCGGTGCGATCCTCTAGCCCCATCTGCTCGGATCTTATCTAGGAGGCCTAGAGTATGGGCGAGTCTGAGTATGGGTGGGTCTGGGTCTGAATGATCGGGCTGCCTGTGGTCGGTCCAAGTATGAACGGCTCTGAGTGTGAGTGGGTTTGAGTGATCGTGGTCAAAGTATGAGTGAGCATGGGTGTGATTGAGTCTGAATGTGAGTGGGTCTCTATGGGAGCGGATCTGAATACGCGTCTGAGTTAGGAAAAAAGATGAAGGAGGTGGGACTGGGGAGGCTGAAGCGTCACACTCACAAAAAGAAACCCCCATTCAAGTCATGGGGAAAAAAGCCGGCCGTCGCCACATTCTCCAAAACGCCACAGGGCCAGGCGCCGGCCTGAGGGACAACGTTAGGGTTGAATCGGCTCAGACGAGAAAACACCAACCTGTAATCGGCGATACATCGACAATAGATCGGCGATAGGCCTCCGATATCGAACCCGCACGCTCCTGGGCGGGGCGGGCTATCGAACCCCTAGCGGCGATCATTCGTGAGCCGCGGGGGAGGCCAAATCCAGGCAGTCCAAGCGCGCCAACCTGTGCTGGGGGGATCCCTGTGGACCCGGACCAAAGACCACTCCAGCGACGAGTCACTCTGAAGTGCAGCCGACCCTAATGTTGCCCCCCGAAGGGCGCCCAGAATTGGGGAGACGTAAGACTCGCGTTCGGGGGACTTGGGTTTGCCTGACGGGGCCGTCAGGAAATCCGCCGGCCCCCTTGTGGGGCCACCAGGCTGTAGGACCGTGATTCGCAGTTTCCTGTACCAGTTGTAGTTTCTAGTTTCCAGTGTTACAGTTCTGCTTCTTGCTGGTTACTGTAACTAGTTGACTTCTTGCTGATCACTGTAACTAATTGATTGACCGCGCGAGGGGAGGGGAGGCCCAAACGGGATTTTTAGCACCCCCTGGGCGCGTTGTCTGAATTGCTGGGGGGGCTCGAAATCGACACCCCTCACGAAGATCCGCGGGGTCAGGGTCCAAAAACACATGGGATTTGCCACATTTCTGAAATTCGGTGCCACCCCTCACGCAGATCCGCGGGGTCAGGGTCCAAAAACACATGGGATTTGCCACATTTCTGAAATTCGGTGCCACCCCTCACGCAGATCCGCGGGGTCAGGGTCCAAAAACACATGGGATTTGCCACATTTCTGAAATTCGGTGCCACCCCTCACGCAGATCCGCGGGGTCAGGGTCCAAAAACACATGGGATTTGCCACATTTCTGAAATTCGGTGCCACCCCTCACGCAGATCCGCGGGGTCAGGGTCCAAAAACACAGGGATTTGCCACATTTCTGAAATTCGGTGCCACCCCTCACGCAGATCCGCGGGGTCAGGGTCCAAAAACACAGGGGATTTGCCACATTTCTGAAATTCGGTGCCACCCCTCACGCAGATCCGCGGGGTCAGGGTCCAAAAACACAGGGGATTTGCCACATTTCTGAAATTCGAACCCATCACGCACATCCATCGCAAGGCGTGGTAACCCAAACTGCGAGAACTCCCTCGGCCCTTTCATCGCAAGGTGTGGTAACCAAGCCCTTAAACCATACACGTCTTACCAATCGCCAGGTGTGGTAACCCCTCTTGTGATCAGTTGGTTTTGCTGATTGCGACTCGGCTTCGCATGAAGTTTCGATACTGCTTCACGACAGCGCCAAGGCCTCATGACTTAGCTCTTCCATGGCCCATTCTCCGAGAGAGGGGGCCGGCGGCAGGGGGCGAAGCCCTTACGGATCGACGAGACCCAATCTGAAACTTGGCGTGAACTCCCGCTGCAAACGTCCCACGAACACTGGACCGTCAAAACTCAGGACGCGCCCGTCAAAATCTCGTCGGAAAACTCGAATTCTGGCAGCCTCGAGTCTTACGCCTCCCCGATGAAGTATCTCGCCGACCCTAACGTTACGTCGGGCATGCCCTCCTACATACGAATTTGGGAAGAAACAT